AAAAAAAAAAAAAAATGGTAGCTCATAAAAGAAATACTTATGTGAAATTGAAAAATCAAAATATATTTTTAGATGAAATTTTTTTAAAATTATTTTTAACTATCCGAATATCCGTTCATAAACATCATTATTACCTTAAAATTATATTAAAAATTATTGAAGGATGATTTCTAAAATTTTTATCTATTAAGTAATTGATAAATAAGAATTTATATTGTTTAATTAGATCATAAATTTTATTGTTTTGTATGTAAAATAATAAAAGTTAACTTCGTAGTTTAGTTTTAAATTTTGATTTGCCAAAGGAATGTCACTTTTATTTCAGATAAATTAAAAAATAAAAAGGAAAGAGAAATTTATTCCTATTTAATATTTATTATGAGTGTTTAATATTCAGCATCAATTTGTCAAATCAGTCAGGCACTACGAGCAGCACTGTGATTATTAAGCAATTTAGTCAATTCATCACATAAAGTTCCCTTCTACCCCTTTGGAATGCATACAAATTTGTGTTTTTCATTCTACGAAACACCTCTTCCACGTTTCTTGATTTGAGTCACTAGATTTCTAAGAATTTGAAAAGAGCTCTGAATTAGAAAAGGGGGGGGAAGTTAAGTACGTAAATCCATAACATGATAGACGGCAGCGACGTCACTCTGACGCTTTCTACACAGCCTATTACTGATTGGTTGAGACTTATTTCAGTGATGTCATTACCAACCAATGAAATTACTCACACATGATGTCACTATAGTCTCATTTTGGGTGAGTCAGCGTTATAAGCTCATATGATACAAATTTTGATGACTCATTTCACTACACGTTGTCCAGCCAAGAAAGCGTGTGTTTTCTTGCATCCAAACATCAAAACATTTGACCTAGTGTTACTACAATCTGAAACTGAACCCAGAACAGCAACAGTGAGTGTTTACGATTAGTTTTGCAGCTTTTAAAATCTTATTCTTTTTCAATGTGCGAAGTTGTGTTTATGTTTACTTGAGTTATGGAAACAACATTTTACGACGATTCAATGTCTCGACTTGGAAAAAATGATAATCAGGCTCTTAAGCGTCCCGTAACACTGAACCTGGAATCTCCGGGCAGTGCAGCGAAAAGGACTCGATTCGATCCTATATTGACGTCCCCGGATCTTAAGATGCTGCAACTTGCCTCCCCTGAACTGGAGCGATTGATAATCAGCAACTCCAACTTCTCTGCCTCTACACCAACTCCAACTTCATTCTTTTTCCCCAAGAATGTGACTGAGGAACAAGAACAGTATGCCAGAGGATTTATTGATGCGTTGAATCAGCTGCGTCAGCCTTCTTTAGAAATAAACAATAACTTTCTTCATAATTTTAGAACAGGTCTGACACCAGTTTCCTCTAATGCCCCTGATATTGTTATCACATCTACTACTGCACCAGTTTCCACTAGTGCAGGCAAACTGTACAACAGTGTACTGCCTTTCACTATCCAATCTGCGCCAATATCATCACCAACAAGTGTTATCAAATCTTTAGGAAATGCCAAAAGTATAGTAAATGCAGTGCGACCACCCTCTGTTGATAATTTTAGTAGCAACAGTTGCAGTAGCAGCAGTATGCCTGTGCCATTAGAAATAAACATCAAGGAAGAGTTGCAAACTGTACCGAGTGACTATTCGAGCCCTCCTATGTCACCTCTATACAAAGCTCCCATAGACATGGAGGATCAGGAGCGCATCAAATTAGAGCGGAAACGCCAGCGAAACCGAGTAGCTGCCAGCAAATGCCGTAAGCGCAAGTTGGAGAGAATTTCGCAACTCGAACTAAAAGTTAAAGAGTTGAAAGGCGAGAACTCCAAGTTGGAAATGGTTGCGAAAAAATTACGAGGAGAAGTGTGTAATGTAAAGCAAATCATGATGGAACATGTTACGCATGGCTGCAGCATACAAGTTCCAAAATCTTATTTAAGTTAATTGCAGTGCCTTTCATCATTTTTCTTATTCAGTGCATTCGATAAATCAGTGACAATTAATGCTTCATTTCACGTTTTCGGACAATCAATATTTTGTCAACAATCATTCTGTAAGCGGCTCTGAATATCACTGCATTGTGTGCTCTATGGCAGCCTTTACCATCACATTGCATGCTTTGTGAAATTCAATGACTAGAAATTTTATTGTACTGTGTCTCCTGTTAAATTCAGTGACGCCAATTATCGTGGCATTCGTTGGCAATAAACTTCATTACATGTGGCGTTAAAGCACTGTAGACAATATAAACTGTTTCGTTTCTCACCATTTGCTTACATCTCTTTTTCTATCAAAAGTTGATCGTATCAATTCCATGTTTTTAGAACTTCTTTGTAAATAATGTGTTACTTATATAATATTAATAAGTTCTACATTATCTTATAAAAGAATAGTTAAAGCATCAATTATTAATGTTAAAGATTTACTAAATTTTTCATAGACAATATTTATTATCGTAATAATTTAAAATTAAAACGAGAAATTGTGTAAAAGCTGTTTAAAATTAAATGTTTTCACTACTATTTATTACAAAGAGGAAAGTGTAATAAATAAAAAGTTTAAATTTATAGCTCTTAAAATCATGCATTAATGAAGGAACTTTTTAATATGATCAAGTAAAATAATGAAAAGTGATTTATTGAATTCATTATTTCATAAATTTTTATTTTATTATTTGTTACTAGATTCTGTTTGAAGTATGAATGAAAAAGTTACAGTAAACTTAAAACATTCAAATTTTTAATTGCCATTTTTTGCATTCTTGCTGGTTGAGAAATGTCCAAATTAAATTGTATATGTGGGCTATAAATTTATCGAAATGTTATGAAAAATATATGTGTTATTACATAATTGTTAAGTTTTTGCTCTAGGCAATCCAAACACAAAATTGTGCATAACGGAAACATGGCACGCTATTAAAAATTTGGTGTAACAAAAAATTATATCACAATGTTAAAGTAAAGATACATAGATTTTGAGGTACTTATAGGTATTAGGAACTGTGTTTGTGTTTGTAATTGCATTTCTAAGTTTTGGCCAACATAAGCATTGCTATGTATGTACAAACACGCATATATATATGTATGGTATATATATATATATACAGTATATATATACATACACACTGTATATATACACAATATGTATGTATATATATATATATCCTATATGATGGCATAAGAAACTTTCCGTCATGGTTCCTATAACCTGTAATCACCAATTTAAATTTACCAGGTCAATTGTGTTACGTTAGTTGTCATTTTATAAAAGCCCTGAAGTTTCGGTATTTTAATATTATTTTGAAGGTCGTAAAAATTTTTTTGTTGTAAATAGTGAAAATTTTAGTTTATTGATATTTTAATTCATATTTTTAATAATATTTTTTGTTTAATTTTTCAATTTTATATCAATGTGACGAGATTTAATAAGTTATATGTTGTTACTATAGCGAAGTATTTAATTTTTCAAAAGTTAACTAGATATTAACTGTGATTCCTGAATTAAATAATTAATAAATTAAAGCTACAATGTTGAATTTGAGATATAATAGTTGAAATAAAGTGATTCATTAAGTTATCAATATTTTAAGACGCTAAAATATAAAGCACTATTAACATTAGTTTTATTCTACCTGAATGTACTTTCCGCTTAAGAGAAACATTTCTGTATCTGTTTGAACATTTTTATTTGCTTGAATACTTTTAACACTTACACTTAAATTTTTTGAACAATTACACACTTATCATTCTATTAATGTTTTTAAAAATTTAGGCCACGTCTTTGAGCAGTGTTAAAAAAAAAACAAATATTGACAGTTATATTGAAATTTACAAATTTTTTGTTAGTGTCATTCTTTCTGCAACTATCTTCATAATTATTTTACTGCCATAATTTCATCATATTATTTTAAAGAATTTTTTTTTTTGAAAAGTGATTAAAATTTCTGTAACAAGATATCTGTAATTTATTATTAACTTTTGTGTTAATTATATTTGATAATCAAATTTGAACATTTTTTTTTTAACAGTTCCATAAGCCTTAATAATCTTGAATAATCTTTTCAAATTTTACACATTTTATCATATTTCCTTTCAATGTAATTTATTGTTGTCTCATGATGGTAATAAAACGAAAGGAAGAAAAAGTATTTTTCTATAATTAATCTGTAATATTGAGTCTATAAATGGAGGATTTTGTATAAATTTGTAGAAGCTGTGATAATGCATTTGTTTTTATTAAAGGTAATTTTTCTAAGTTACCTTGCTAATCTTCTTTTACTGCTCAAATTTTTATAGATTATGTCATTTGTATTTACTTTTGTAAGCAGTGAGAAGTTAATGTATTATATTTTGTACAGTCTTAGATGCATCTTGTATATAATAAATGGAATTCTTTTAAGTACAAATTCCTTTTGTATTCTTTAATGGTTGTGTAATTACAAGTTAATAGTTACAATATAAAGCAGAGTGAGCAAGAGGATCATTATAGATTTTATAGAACTAAAAACAGTCACGTGGCAAGTCAACAAAAAGATGTGGCGACTTAAATTAAATAAACCAGCTGTTACTTTTTCCTGGTTTTTTTTGTTAAAAATTGTTTAATGATAAAAATATATCAATGTAGAAAGAGACTAAAAAGAAAAACAGTTTTCTTTAAAATGTCTAATGCTACCATTCAATATTTTGATTCTTCAAAATCCATTAATTTATGTTAGAAAGATTAATGTGAAAGTAAATTTCTTTAACAAGATGCATAGCGTTTTTAAAAAGTGCTTATTTTTGATTCACATTTTTTAAAAGCCCTTAAAAGTGCTTTTTTTATTTGGGGTTTGTAAAACGTGCTTCATTTTCTCTTTTTAAAAGTGATGTTTTCTTTGTCGTGTCGACAAAAAAAGCATTATTTTCATACTTTTCTCTGCAATATTCATCAGACACTAGTTATTTTATCATGATTATTTAAAGTTTTTAAAAATATTTTTGCCATTTTTTAATTTTATGTTTATGAATTAAGAACTTTAAACGATGGAAAAAAATAATTTTTATTCTTGCACAGATCCTAATTACGACTTCTCTTTTTGGAAAGTGAATAAAAATATTTTTTGAGTGCTTAAAAAGTACTTAAAAGGTGCTTATTTTTTGTTCAAAAATCTGGCTACACACTCTGTTTAACAATTCATTGCATATTGTAACATATACATTAAATGTATTTTACCTTCAAATATATTTATATGGGTCATTCTCACTGAAAGGTTTTATTATTAAAAATTTTAAAAACTACATAAATGCCTTTATTTATTTTTGCTATATGTCCTTATAATAAGTCAAGTTTTGTATTTTATTTTTTACAAGATTAAAAATATTTTAAATTCTGCCTTGTCCACGGAGGATATGTAATAGTCAACGGAGGAGACATTTTATGTTATAAAATATAAAATGTCAATGAAGACTAATTCATTAATTATTGGGCACAACTGATATGAGTTTAACATTAATAAGTAAATAATAAAATATGTCATTATTAGAGATAGAGCTACTTCCGATTAATCATGCTGTTATGAAAGGAAACATCCATTTTTAACCTAGGTGTACAATTTCTTAAGTAACTCTTACTGAATATT